CAGCATGGAGGGAGGCAGGAGAGGACCCGGGGAGCTCTAGACAGAGCCGCGGCAATGCTCAGATCTCGCGAGAGATCTCGCGAGAGGCTAGAGTTCACTCTCCCTTGGACAGCAAGGATCCCCCTCCCTACATAAGGTAAGAAGGAAGGGGGATTATTTACTAATCTGCCCCCACCTTCAGAATCCCTCCAAAAATACACCACCCACACACATACAGCACCCACACACACACAGCACCTACACACATACAGCACCCTAACACAAACAGCGTGCACACACACACACAGCACACAAACAGCACCCACACACACAGCACACACAGCACACACAACAGCACCCTCACACACACAGCACACATACAGCACCCTCACACACACACAGAGCATCCTCACACACACACACACACAGCACACTAACAGCACCCTCACAAACACACACAGCACCCTCACACAAACAGCACACTCACACACAGCACACTACCAGCACCCTCACACAAACTGCACCCTCACACACACAGCACACTAACAGGACCCTAACACAGATACACAAACACCCTCACACACAGCACACTACCAGCACCCTCACACACAGGCACACAAACAGCACCCTCACACACAAACTGCACCCTCACACACAGCACACTACCAGCACCCTCACCCACATAGCACACTACCAACACCCCCACACACACATCACACTAACAGCACCCTCACACACACACACACATCACCCTTACACACACAGCACCCTCACACAGCACACTAACAGCACACACACACACAAACAGCAGTATATGTATGTGTGTGTATGTATATATATATGGAGGAGCACCAGGAGAGAGCAATATCTTGTAGACCGATATTGCGGAGGATGAGAAGAAGCTGTTGATGATCAACAGTGTCAAAAGCCGCAGACAGGTCAAGGTCGTGACCACGAGATTTTGCAGCGAATAAGAAGGTATTACCTACTTGTTGTTTACAAATCCTTGATATAACCATTGACTCATCAAGCATGGAGTTTAGGTTGCCAGAAGAAAAAATATCAAAGATGAAGATGCTGATTCAACAGGTAATGGGTTGTGAAAGTGACCTTAAAGGTGCTACAGAAATTATTGGGTGTGTTGACATTTGCATCAAGGGCGATTCCAATGGGGAGAGAGTTTTCTAGGAAATTGGGCATGGCAAAGGCAAACATTAAATCGCCCTTTTTCTTTCCTATCCTTTTTTTCCTATCCTTTGATAAACACATTTTGTGTCTATCAGGATTAGTTATTCACTATTAAGTCGCCCTTTGCACACGTCAGAGTAACAAGGGAAGTAAAACAAGACCTGAAAGTGTCGAAGATTTTAATGGAAGGTTCGCTGTGGCAACGGGAGTTCACAGGTTTTGACTGTCTGGAGCTATTCACAGATGCAGCGGGGACCATTGGTTTCAGTATATATTGGAGTGGACAGTGGTGTGCGCAAGAATGGCCAGAGTTATGGGCACAAGGAGGGTTAACAAAAAAATTAACATTGTTGGAACTATTTCCCATAGTAGAAGCCATATATCTTTGGGGCAGGAGTGGAGAAATAGGTGTTTGATTGACACATGTGACAATTTAAGTGTAGTCATGGTGATCAATTCATTGCAGTCTAAGTGTAAGGAGGTGATCAATTTGCTGAAGCATTTGATATGCTTGGCAAAATTAGGTTTAGGTAAAGAGCGTTATTCATCACATTCATTCAGGATTGGAGCTGCAACAGAGGCAGCGAGGTGTGTTTTAAGTGATGGAATCATTCAAAAGCTGGGAAGATGGGATTCTAACAGATTCCAATTGTATGTCAAACCTCATTTGTTATATTAAAATAAAAAGTGGGAGGGGAGTTCGTGATCAAGTGTAAATGGTTCATAAAGATTGGTTTCCATGCAATGGGGGTTAATATTAATATTTTTCTTTCTGTTAGGAAATAAGAAGCCGGCGATTGCCTGAGTTATTGGTCACTCGCAGGGGCATACCTGGAGCATTTGGCACCCGGGGCGGATCCTATATTTTGCCCCCCCCTCCCTCAGCTTAAAATGTAAAAAACACCCACACCCGGTTAGGTACCTCTGCCGATGGATGCTCCTAGTGCTCACCGTGGACTCCAAGCACTCCAGACACCATCAGCACTGCAGTCCCTATGTCCATCGTTACAGCTTGGCTAGGAACTCACCGTCCTCCACCCACCCTGGACCCAAAACCAGGATCCAACTTCCAGTGGGTGAACCTCTCCTACTCCAGAGAGCGTAGCAGGGACAGCTCTTAAAAGAGCTAGTGATTATAATCCCAGGGGAGTATAGTGATATATCAATCCCCAGGGTAGATACAGCCTCCCCCCCCCCACACACACACACATGAGATGAGGCTCTATGTTGAGGGTAAAACAGGAACTCAATTTTAATGGAGGCACACTGGCCTTTTATGTAGGTTTCCCAACAAAGGTGACACCGATACAAGCCAATAAAAACAATGTGACAATGAATGACACTCCCACATACAGTACACAAACCCTCCCAAGCCTGTGATATAATTAAGGCAGATAATGCATTAACGTCATTCTCCCCAGGCATAAAAACCACCCACATATTTTACAAAGTCTCATAAGTACACCAAAATACAACATATCCCCATAGCTGTTCCCCATAGTCACATCACCTGATAGCCCTGATCTGTGCAGGGGTTCAGGAAATTCCAGGAAGTCTCTTTTTGACCGACCGCACACATGGTTTCATGCCCAAAACAGTTCCAGAGAATTAGGCTGTGCGGCGGTCTATTTTAGACAGTCAAAGTACCATTCAAATTACCAAACGGAATGGTGAATGAACATAGTCAGTGTGTGTCCCTGTGCTTCGACTCACGGAACGCAGTTCGACTCCTGTTCGGATAGTCGAAGTTCTCGGAAGGCAACTGTTCAACGGTGTTCATGCCATCGCATGTCCGATTTGAGTTCCATAAACTCGACGACAAAAGACCGCTGAACATGTTCAACCAAATAAGATGGCCGCCGCCACTTGTTCGAATGTTGAATGGCGGCCACTTCGACTATTTCGACTGTTGCCAAAGTGCCATTCAGAAAGTTCGAAATCTGTTCCAGTTAGAAGTCCAAGAGGCAGAAACAGTATCTTTAACCCCCAGTTCACCACAGGGCCATAGTCACAGGGTAGGAGGCTGGAAAACAGGCCCCTCCAAAAACCAGTGGCGAGGTCACTTTCGCCACACATAGAAACACAGTCATACACACACAGACACAAGCAAAGGCAGGGTGATGTTGTGAGAGGAAAAGGGGGGGGGTGATGGTGTGAGAGGAAAAGGGGGGTGATGGTGAGAGGAAAAGGGGGGTGATGGTGAGAGGAAAGGGGGGTTATGGTGAGAGGAAAGGGGGACTAAATACCTTATTTAATTCCCTGGTGGTCCAGTGGTGATATCCGGTCTGCAGCTCCACAGTGTGCAGAACTGCAGACCATGAATCTCATGAGATCCAGTCAGAGCGTTGCCGTGGTAACCCGTGGCAATGCTCTGATTGATCAGATCTCACAAGACACATGGTCTGCAGCTCTGTACACTGTGGAGCTGCAGAAAAGTGTCTACAATGGTCGCAGGAGGGGCATCGCACAAGCTGCCGGGCCTCCTCCTGGTGTCGGGTCCTCGGTCAATGACCCAGGACCTAACACAGTATGCCCCAGGCACCCCCCAAATGAGTGGCACCTTGGACGGACCGCCCCCTCTTAGTACACCACTGGTCACTCGTTTTTGGGATGGGCCCAGGAGTGTACATATGGAGAAAATCTTGGTTTGAAGAGCACTTCAGTAAAAATATTTTGGAAAGGCACCCGTGGTGCCAAGTGGTTACAGTTATTGGAAATGTTGCTTTTTCCTTATCCAGATTTAATTATAGTTTATTTAGGGGGTAACGACACTGAGATTAAGAATGATTTGGTTCTTGTAGCACAAATTTTTCCAGAAGTGTACTTTATTTGGTCAGAAATCATAGCAAGATATTGCAGGCTTAAAATAAGCTATTTAAAACCGTTAGAGAGAGTGCACAGAAAGTTAAACAGAGCTCTGGAAAAGTTTTTGCCAACGTTAGGGATGCGTTCATATAGGCATAGCGATATTGAGGGTGGTTGCGCAGATTTTTATAAAAGCGATGCGATTCATTTGTCAGACATAGGTATAGACATATTTAATTTGGGGTTCAGGCTATTGTGAAGATGGCCATGGGGTTTGGGGGGCTTTTGGGGGCCACAGAGTTTTGTTGCCCAGAACCTCAGTGGCATTGGGATATAAGTCACCCTCCTGGGCATCACAGGAGGGTGTATTTGGTTGGAAAAGATATATTTATGGCCCCTGGCTTTAAGGGGCGGAGCCTGGAAATGGCTAATGGTTATTTGGTTTTGGTTTTAAAGTTATGGTTATTATTATCATGCATATTAAATTAGAATTGTGAAATCCGTAATAAAAGTCACAGCCATTCACCAAATGTTTTAATTTATAAGAAAATAAACAGTTAAAGAAAGAAGTTGTGTTTTTATTTATATTATGTATCATTAAGAATGCAACATTCGGGGCGGGGCCTGGCCGGGGAGCTGAGAGTCAGCAAATCTCCTCAGCTCTCTCAATCTGAATCGTATAGAGCAGATTTCACGGATTAAAATATGTCTTACCGACCAGAGGCACAAGTGGATACCATCCGTGGCACAAAGCGAGTAATATTTCCCTGAGATGAGGTCGAGACCTAACAACATGGCGGGCTCGGAGGAGACGGCCGCTCCTCTGCCGCCAAGATAGACTGAGCTTCTGCGGAGGGGCTCTCGTTCCCCCCCCTCTGAGCCGGCAGGGGTTATCCCGGTCCACCCCCAGCATGAAGGTACTCACCAACGGAGAAGGGCCAACAGGCGGGAGACACAAGGCCAAAGCAAAATGGCAGATGGCACAGACACCAGCACAAAGAAATAAAGTCCCAGCTGCCTTTCAGGCAATGTTTGATGCAGTCTGCGAACGCTTCTGGGCACAGTTGGAGGATAGGCACGAGCCTCTACAGCCACCAATGGCCAGCACCACGGCACAGGCATCCACACTGCACCAACCAGACAGTGCTAACTGGCACCAGACTAAGAAGCAGTTGGTGAAGGCCCAACCGGGAAATGCACTCCACGACGCTCCATGGACAGCAGAGAACCAGCTGAAAGGCCGAGCTATAGCACTACACGGCCAGAGACTTACCCGCAAGTGGCAGCCACACATGCTCAAGAATACGGAGAGCAAATGGAGCACCACGCGGGCAACATACAGTGCCCATTGCGCCACAACCTTGGGGGAGACCCAGGGCCCCACTACAACTCAGGCATGCAGAAACGGAGCACCGGCTCACCAGCGACCCCAGAGGTGGAAGGGCTCCCCACCCCCACAGTGCCCCGTTGCAACTAAACACACACCTAGACATACTCACCCACTCCACCTGGCAGCAACCGGGGCCAGAAGCCTGCACCCTTCAGCTCCACCACAGACCCGGATCCTGCCAACACCGCAGCCCCTTCAACCGGCATCCGTGCGCAGAAACCTGACCAAACCCGCCGGAAGAATTAAACATGGGACACCCAAGACAGGGAACGGAGGCATGGGATCCCGGGCTGTGCTCCTGCTCCGGTTGGAGTCACTAACGGGCCACAGAAAGGACTATCTGCTTCAGCACATAAGTGGTATCGGGTGAAGATCTATGGCTGTGGGGACTCTCTGTACTGCAGCTGAGTACACTACATTCATCTGACATTTATTGTTTGATTTATCCCCATTACTCTTCAACTTACCTACCTCTGCCTTATTCCAGCAGTTTTATAACACATGCTTTACCAGTCTGGACTTAATTCCCTGATTTCAATGCCTAATCTATGTGTCACTCAACCATTTTACATAATAAGGCAATATCACCATAGGATATTTCCCCGCCTACACCTGTATGTCTAAACCTACTCAGGAACGATCGTTCCCCTTTAATTTGACTAGCAGGCACTATAAGCGCTGACCTAACTCAACCAGTCCATATAAACCTGTTAAATTAATATATACGGTAAACGTTGATCTTCAACTTCTTGTACAACCATAGAATGCTATGCAGCAGTCAGTTCTTAGAATAGCCTGTTTAGTATAAGCCTTATCCTAACACTCAGTGAAAGCATAGGTACTAGAATAGGCATGCTATGCAATTCTTAAATCGAGGTTAACGTAACCTAAAATGCATGTTTTCTTGTTTAACACTACCTTTAAAAATTGTGCTGTTTCTCTAATGCTACACATTTGTTTTACCATGTTGAAATACCTGTTTCTGCTGTTGTGGTATGGCAGGCATCATTGTAATCATCTGCACAACAAAAATAAAGAATATAAAAAAAAAAGAAAAAAGAATGCAACATTCAAACCCCATGGGACATGCTTTTACAAGGTGTTGTGCAATGTGAATGCTGGCTATTCTATTTTGTTCATCTAAACATAGAATGAGACGGCAGATAAGAACCATTCAACCCATCTAGTCTGCCCAATCTTTTAAATACTTTCATTAGTCCCTGGCCTTATCTTATAACTAAGATAGCCTTATGCCTATTTCACACATGCTTCACTGTGTTAGCCTCTACCACTTCAGCTGGAAGGCTATTCCATGCATCCACTACCCTCTCAGCAAAGTAATACTTCCTGATATTTTTAAACCTTTGTCCCTCTAATTTAAGACTATGTCCTCTGTCATGGTAGTTTTTCTTCTTTTAAATATAGTCTACTTTACTGTGTTGATTCCCTTTATGTATTTAAATGTTTCTTTGTATAGCTTGTCTTTCCTCCAAGCTATACATGTTAAGATCCCTTAACCTTTCCTTGTAAGTTTTATCCTGCAATCCATGAACCAGTTAAGTAAGCATTCTCTGAACTCTCTCTAAAGAATCCATATCCTTCTGGAGATAAGGTCTCCAGTACTGCGTGAGGTCTTGTCTTTCCTCCAAGCTATACATGCAGGGCTGGTGCAAGGATTTTTGCCGCCCCCCCCTATATGTCCTGCCCACCATGTGACATCACAATGCCCTGCCCATATGCTCTGCCATAATGGCCAACGCCAGTCTTCACAAAGTGTCTTTTATCTGAAAAGACAGTGTGTTTATATTAAAAAGCCTACAGGCACAGGCTATAGACACCAGAACCACTACATTAAGCTGTAGTGCTTCTAGTGACTATAGTATCCATTTAATGTGAGGTGAATTAGAGATTAGTGCCACTAATAACATATTGGATTGCCTACTTACCACCAGATGAGGACAAGAGTCTGATGATGGGCTCTGTCTGGCTCCACAGGTCTGGTGTAGAAAAGGCTCTTAGGAGACTGTTTTTAACAGTGCTCACAACAATTAACGAACAGGAAGCAGCTCCATGTTTTAGGGCCCCTTACACAGCTCAAGGTCTGGGCCCTCAGGGCTTGACCGTGAGTATGCCTACAATGCCCACCCATAAATCCAGCTACATGGCCCACCCATGAGTTCTCTCACAGGAAGTGTCGGGGATGTTTTATGTGTTATTGTAGAGGATGCAATGTGTGTGTGTTCTTATAGAATGTAGTGTATAGGGATACCAATTTCTGTAAGGGATGTAGTATGTTTATAGGGGATGCAGTGTGTGTTTGCGTGTAAGGAATGCATTGTATGTTTCTGGGTATGTGTGTGTAAGGGGTGCAAGGTGTGTTTCTGTGTATTTAATTGAATGCAGTGTGTGTCTGTAAGGGGTGCATTGATTGTGTAAGAGATGCATTTTGTTTTTGTGTGTAAGAGAATGAGTGTTTGTGTGAACGTAAGGGATGCATTGTGTGTTTCGGGTGTGTCTGAGTAGGAATGCATTGTATGTTTCTGTGTGTGTGGGGGGGATGCATTGTGTATGTGTGTAGTGTAAAAGAGAGGGTTTGTGGGGTAGGATAGAGACTGAGAGGGGAGCTGCTCTTTATTTTTTTCATAGTGCTCTCCCCCCCTGTCAATTATTGATTTCCCCTTCCCTCCTGTCCCTCCGTGTTCTCCCCTTTTGTCCCTTAGTGCTCTCCCTTGGCCCCCTGTAGTCCCCCCTTGGTGGTCTTCTCAGTCCCCCCTTCCCCCTTAGTGGCCCTCCCTCTCCCAAACCCCTTAGTAGACATTCCCCTCCTCCCCCCACCCCCTTAGTGGTAATCCCCCCCCCAGTGGTCATTATCCTCTTTCCCCTCACCCCCCCTTAGTAGTCCTTTCCCCCCTTAGTGGTCCTCCCTCTCCCAAACCCCTTAGTGGACCCCCCCTCCTCCCTCAGTGGTCCTTACTCCCCACCCCCCGTCCCCCTGTGTTCCTTCACCCCCCCTTCCCCAGTGGTTCTTACTCCCCCTCTCCTCCCCCAGTGGTTCTTACTCCCCCCATTCTTCCCCCAGTGGTCCTTACTC